ATATCTGGCTGGCATTGGCGATGTGTCAGAAATGTGTTGGGGAGTCGTTTTTATGCGTCGAGTAGTTCACACATAATGACTGGCGACCACCGATCGATCGCTGATTTACCCCTGATCACAGCCTGATGGTCACAGAGCTCACTAACCAGCAAATCAGGCTTATCATCGTATAGTGTGAACTAGGCTGAAGTGATTATAACAAAAACTTTGTTTTTAACTTTGTTATGGCAAGGCTAGCAGACCCAAGTGCAGGTCTAAGAAAGTGAGAAGTTCGATAAAAGAGGAATAGGCTATTTATTAGGTTAAAAGGATCATATATTGCAGGTGAAGAGCTAGGCAGAGTGAAAATTGATGCACGCCGAACCGGGTTGGTGGCTGCTGTACAAAGCAGGTGGAACCGTAGCTGAGAGCCCGAGCAGGTTCAGAGCAGAATCCGGGAAACATTTTAAAATGTAAGAAATTTGACTGTTTTGATCTGTAATGAAATTAAGCAATTGTAAAATTAATAAACGCCATAACTTTCACACTACTGCTGTCATCACTCAGTTTAAAGTGCTCCGTCACAGCAGGCAGCTTCATTTTGTTTTCCCTTTGATGTGGACTGGAGCGTTACGTTCATTGCTGTCAGCTGAGGTCAGGCATGCGAAAAAACGAGCCAACCCGCGGGAGGAGCGTGTGAGGCCGGCCATCCGCCCGCTCACAGAACCCTCTGCTCCTGCCGTCACACAGACCGCTGCAGCAACAACGGCAGAGGAAAACACAGCTGGAAGGTTTTCATACCGCTTATCTGTCTTTACATTCTGAGTAATGTTGAAACGTTTTAACTTAAATAAAGAGACAGCTGTTTGTGGGTCGCTGGTTTGTGTGTCGCATTGAACATTATGTCGCGGCAGTTGTGTGTGGCGTTGCTATGACGACCAGCTACATTGAGGGGTAATATTTCTGGGTACTATCTGCAATGGAAAACAGAGCACGGACGAACCGAGTTGAGTTCGTACTGGTGATGGAAAAACGCCATAAAAGTCACCCAATAAATCATTGTTTAAAGTTCTGTTCATGCTCAACATCTAGAAAATGCACATAGGCTTAAAACACAGTCAAGTCCTTCAAAGTCAAAAACAATAGAAGCTCATTTCTTTCCAGTAACAAGCAAACAAGGTCATATATAGTATCATATCAGAATTAATATACAGATGTGAATATGCATGCTAAAAAAGTTCATTTGGCAGATTGATATTCACCCACGTCCTTCCAGAATTCCAACGATGGCTATGATCCTCTGTAGTGGCTCTCACCAGGCCTTGTCCTGAAAAATAGATAAGATGTATCATGCTTGTAAAATTCCTACACATCAACGTATTGTTTTCCATTTACACACAATGGTAACTTTGCCTTCTACCCTCACAGCATCGCCAGAGCAGAGCCATTAGGTTGCCGCTTAATCAGAATCAGAAAGCTTTATTGTCATTGAACGTAGTTCAACGAGATTTGCTCCGCTGTTAATTTTATGCCCTGATATCAGCAGCATTTCATGTCTTAATGCACTCTGGCTAAACTTTTAGCACCTTCTTCAGATTAGGCTGTTAGCGGGTAACATTAGCTAATTCACTGTAGTGCTGTATTTGGGCGTGTATAAACCCTGTGATTAACCAGGCAACCGTCTGTGTGAGCTGAATGCCAAAGATGATCCAGACTTTCTGGCCTAAAAGCTAAAGTTAATGTGATGCTAACTGCAATAGCATATTTGAGCACTAGGCTACTCACACCTTGCTGCTTTTTTCCCCATTTGAAAACTGAAGATGTGTATTAGCCCACTGATTACATAACAGCAATAAACCAGCTGGATTTCCATACAGTCCTCACCTTGTGTTCATTGAGACCCATGTCCCTGTGGGTTTCAGCCCCTCTGCAATCAGCAGTCTTGCCTGCGAACTCCTTTGCCGCTTCCCTCTTAGCTTCCAGGGCATCAGCCTATCCTGTTCTCAGCCATCTGGTGCACCAGCAACAGAGAGTTTAACTTCACCCGGGCTATTCAGACTGTAGAGCAGGTTCAGAGGCTGGCTGTGGGAGAGCTTTCTGGTCTGTTGGTTCTGCCCTCACCACCTGATCCTTGGCCTCTTGATCCTTGTCAAACTGAACACAGAATATGAACCATAACATGGGTGAGAAAGATGTGGTAAAGCACAGCTCATAACGTATGATATTGTATGTTAGACATCTCTTTAGCTTTCATTGACTCCTTGATCTGCAAATTTTCGGTATCCTTCTTAAGTTTTGCTTGAATAGGGATTATAAAATTAGGATGAGATTTGAACAGTACATTGTTGCACATTCATAGATTTGTTTACTGCTGAATTGTGACCGCCGCTACTAAAAATTCCCACACCTATTATTATATTAATGCGCTACTAATTTTCGCTTGTACACTGTGCGAGCACAGTAACACTCAACCCTTGGCTCCCTTCCTCTGCTCGATCTTCAAAGAACATCTACGTGACAGGTGCTGTTATAACAGCAGCGTAACTCTGAATCAGGAGGTGCGTAGCGAGTGTTTGATCGTCCGAGCGGTAGAAAGTGACGGTGAGCGCGAGCGGAGGAAAATATTATGTCAGTAAATGTGCTGTGTTAGTTACAGCGTGTCAGCTTCTCAAAAAATCTGTTTGTTGTTTCCCACCTGCTGGAAAAGTGAAGCCTGTCTGCGCTAGAAAACATCTCCCCTCCCCTTCAGACTGCCAGCTGAGCAGGAACGCTTCTACAGCAGGCTACATCTTTTGGCTGCTATGTAACTCAACATTAGCTCAATTTATAGAAAGAAACTGGAAGCTGTATTTTATTACTACCTTCTTGTCCAATGTTGAGAACATCAGGTAAAAACTTAGACTAAACTGGTGTAGCCTACAGCTGTGTCCTGTAGCCTACAGACAGGTAGGCTCCATCCCACATTATTTTTCAGTTTTCAAATGAGTCTGAAAAAGTGGTTGTTAGGAAAAGAAAGGACGGTGGTGACTGGGGGACCTGATGTTATTAAAGCAAGTAAGTGATGCAAACTAGTTCTTTTTAGCTATTTAATTTTAGCTTTACCTTCAGTGAACGCTGAATGTCGATATCCTGCGGGACGTTACCCGGACTGTCTGCTTCCAAACGAGCTTGACGTTATGACGTATCTCGACGAAGTAAAACATTGTCATTGGTCGAAGTCGCCTCTGCGCAGTATGAATCATCCAATGAGGGTACAGCATTCAAATATTTGAATATTCGCGCACTTTCCTGATTTCTGTAGCACAGAGACTAAAGAGACTATTTTAAATTTCTGTATTTTCACTCATTTTAAAGTTTTACATCCCTTCACCCCCTGATTATCAAATATGTAGTTGATGCTACAGAAACATTTGTTGAACTGTTCAGTCCTAACATCACTTCTCAATCTTTCATACATTGCTCAATTATTGCAAAATTGTAAAAATATAACACCATTGGAAAGCTTTATTCAACTTGTGGTCTCCCTTTTGTTTAGTCCCCTCATATAACCTCAGCCTATGAAAAGCTCCCCATAAAGCTATTATGTTTTTTTACAGCCTTTATGAAATCCCATATATTTTCTCAAATAAGTAGACGGTATGTGTAATATGACATAAAAGGACAAGCACACACAACTGGGAAATGCAGGAGACATGATGAAGAAGGGACATCACAGTAGGCATGACCTAAAGGAGGGGACACACGGGCAGCAGCCATAAACTGTATATGAAAAGGCAGAAGCACACAATTCAAGATTTATTATATCCCAATACAGGATATTATCAAGCAACATCTGACACTACACTTAACACTGTGGGACAGGCAGACATTTAAATGCATTAATGTAACACCTTAATGAAACATACTTTGCCTGGGTCATATGTGCATGAAGCCTGTATAGCCATTGTCTTTGTAAATTGCAGATGTTGATCAGATCACAGAGGTTCTGTCAGGCCCAAGTAAGGCGTTTGAAGTACTGGTGTGCATGAACATTCACATGTTCCACACCCCATAGGAGGAAAATTCATATCTACAGATGGTTTGAGCTGTGTTGGAACAGACATCAGAAGCCAAAGTGGACACAGTATAATTTTTAGTCCAACATCTGAAATAGGCTGTAGACTTGGGGGATCGTGAACCCATGGCCTCCAAGAAAGTGGAATGAGGTAGATAGATCCTCCCTAACGACTGTGAACCCGAAGATGGTGACTGCTAACATGTTAGGATAGTAGTGATGCAAGAGGTTTATTCATTACTCTATTACAATCTCTTCAAATTCTAACATTGATTAATCCAAAGAGCACTTGCTGGTGTGTCGTCTAGTTGAGCTGTGGAGTGGCTGAGGCGATACAGTGATGGTGTTCAGGCTAGTTGTAGGCTCATACAGTGCTTTAAGATGTATGGCTGGTCCTACCTGTCACAGTGCCTCTGTTAAATTAAATACAAGTCTAACTCCTTGGAGTTGGCACTTATATGTGGTGCTTTCAGAGGTAAAACACTAACACACACATATTTACACACAGTAGGCCTACATATGAGACCACGTGCTGAAGTGTGTGGTGGGAGAAGGAGGTGGGGGGGGCAGTATACATAATTCTCAAATACTTAAAGTCCATCTAATCGCACTATCTGTGTAAAATATGAAAGTGTTGTTTAATCACAACAGTGAATTAGGGTTGTCATTAAAGCATATGGCCGAACCACCCAGATACTGTGTTCTGCTTGAGGTATCTAACTGTTAAAGGGAGTGGTGGGAATTGTTGGGTTTCTGGTAATAATATTCTAGACCCGCTCTATATGAATAGTGCAACGAGATTACCTTTGTTATGAATTGAGGCTAAATAAAACTGATTAGATTGAGTACTTGTTAAGGCAAAAGTTTTTTGCAATCCGCCATTAACTAAGAAGAAGAAGAGTACTTGTTACATCCAGAAGGTGGCAGTGTTGCAGCGCCAGCTGCCGTTAAACCGAAAGAAGGAGAAGAAGATTTCAGCCAGCACATGTGCGATGTCACTTGACTGCTTCTTCTGAGTTAATTTTGGCGGACAAGTTGCTGGTGGTCTTCGTTTTTGGAAGTTGTAAGAGGTAAGGACCTGTTCTTTTTACCCGTAACTGTTTTTTGTATAATTTTCATACTGAGCATGATTGTATTTTGTGTTTGTGATAGAAGGCGTCCTGCATTTTTCGGGTGTATAATGTTAACAGTTAGGTTAACTAGCCCAGGGAGGTGGTTCTTGGACATGTGTTAGCTAGCTAACATTGCTGCATGACCCAGGTTGATCGGCTTTTATCCCGCCGAGCCTGCCAATCCGTGAACACTTGAACCCTCTGCTGTTGATATCAACACTGTTTACAGGCGCTTCAACACCTCAGCCTGTGCTGTGGTGTCCATAGAGAAAGCTGTTTTTACATGTCTGTGTTTAAGCTCTTAAGCTTTAGCTCTTCATAGGCTGCTTTTGTAACACAGTGTCTTTGGTTTGGAGAGATTAGTTTTACTCTTGTGTTCCTGTCTATACTTTCACATATCAGGCTTGTTTTACTGGTCATAATAAATGCAAAAGTTACGTTTTTGCATGATTAAAAACAGATAACGTTAATTTTAATTGTTAACAAACAGATATTTTGGACTTGTATTCAGCCAATGGTTTGAAGTGTTTATGAGCTTCAGTGAGTCACTATTAGCCTAAAGCTGTGCAAGCTATCTGTTATTATAAATGGGGGGGAAAGGGCATCACAGAGTAGACATGGCGTTTAGGTCAGTGTAATGCTACAAATTACGAAAGTGTGCCTCTTTTTCTGTCTGAATTTCCAAATTATTTCATCCTCTTCCCTTTCCCAGGTAAAGGAGAGTGCATAAGGCTGCTCTTCAACTACCAATAATATGTTGTACTTGTGGAATATGTTTCTAGGTGGAAATTCTGAGGATTTCTACTGTTCCACTGCCTCAAAGTTCGTAGACACACTTCCAATCTCCTCAGTGTGTTGAAGAAGAAATTAGGCTCTGCAGGAAGGGAACTTTGCATACTTTTGGCCCACAGGTATGTTTTGCAATTGGTAGAAATTATAGAATAATAAGTTGATGTTGACTCGTCTCTTCTGACACGTATAGAGAGTAGTAAACAGTCAGAAACCCAAAACATCTGTGTATGCACCCTGATGAGTATACTATTGGGATTTGATTGTTGCTCACAAAGCCTAAACAGCAACACTTGTGCCACTTTCAAACAAATATTTTTTATTGTTTGCAGTTGCCTCACTATTTAAACACACATCAATGACCAGAGCTATATTTAGGGATCGGATATATTGACATTTGGAATGAGCAACAGAAAGTTTGCTTCTCAAAATACAATGCGCTTGTTAAACAGGTGTATTGGTGACATACTGGCTTTTTACTCGCTAAGGTTTTTACCTGCGGCCTCTCTGCTGGCCATTAAGTTGGCTCTGTGTTTGCGTCTATGTGGAGACGCTCAGCCCTGACACAGAAAGCAGGGCACAGGCTTCACCGTGATAATAACATAATTTATTTGACAGCAAGGTTTCTTTTGTTATGATTTCAACACAGACTTGTTCACAATGTAGTAATGGGGGAGGGTGTACCTCCCTGGACATGTTCATAGCAAGTTTATTGTGTCCTTTCAGAGTTTAAGAAATCAAAGATGTAGGACACATACCATTAACATCACTGGGCATGTGAGAATGTGTAGTATGTGTGTATGTGCAGTCCTTAAGTATTTCTGTATTGTTTTTGTCTCTCTAGCAACTGTTGAAAAGAGGAGGGAGATCATCCTCAGGGCAATTGGTTTCTACCTTATGAAGACCCAAACATCCTCTTTAAAGAACACCCGGTTGGTAATTTCAGTAGTTACTACCTGCATTAAACCAAACGGCTACAGTTGTGGTCAAAAGTTTACATACGCTTGTAAACAACATGTATTTCATGACAGTTAAAACCAAATGCCATCAAATACATGAAAATGAATTGTGATTTTTCCTGAAATAAAGAAACAAAAAACAGACAGCTTGTTACATCCCTGGCTTGTCTAGGGGTGGGGGACTAACAAAGAGATAAATAAACCGGGTGGAAAAACAAAGGATGACCCAAAATGTGTCAAGTTAATGTAATTATTCTAAGTTAGTAACAAAAAAGGTGTTTTAACAACTGAAGGTGATCTCTGCTCACATTAGAGACGATATGGGGTTTGTTATGTAAAGTAAATTAATTAAGATATTTAGCGGAAAATATGCAACACAATACAGAGTCTCTACGGCTCCCACCGCGCTGGTGAGGCATATGTGGAGATCGACGCTCCTCATCACACCGGCTTCTAGCTGGTCGTGAACACGGGGCCGATGGCTGCCTCCGCAGAGTCACCAGACGCACGGCGTGAGTAATTAAGATCGGCATCCAGCAGATCACGTCTCGCTACGGACCACACAATAAACCACACAGTAAGTCAACCACACTGTAAGCCACACAATAAGTCACACAGTCTAACGCGAGCAACCACGGAAGACTGAGCCTGAGAGCTCTTCACTGGCTCAGCTTATGTGCCCCACTGATTGCCGCTGATCAGCTCCAGCTGCGGGATTTACGCAGCGCCAGGCTCAGGGCCCAGGTACACACCTGCAGAAAAGAGACAAGCACAACCCACAGACCTCACGGGTCGTAACACAGCTGTTTGAATAACGGCTGCTACTAAACTTTCACATGATCAACAAAATCAATATGCAACTAACGTTAATGATTTTCGCCCGCACACTGTGCAGCACGGTGGCACATAGCTAACGTCCTCTCCTCCTTCACAGGACAGCTACGTGACAGGTGGCAGTAGGTGACGGTGAAAATGAGCAGAGGAAAATATGAGTGCTACATTTTAGTCTGGCTGTAAATGTACAGTGTAGGTTACAGTTTGTCCGTATTGACATAGATGAGGGGGGCAGAATAATAGAAACAGTAAAAGTAAAGATTTATGGCAGAGCTGTTAGATTGCAGTAGACTGCATGCCCTCCAAATAAAGTGCTTGGTGAGGTATATTAAATAATACACAATTGGATCTAATATTTAATTCACCAGCACTACTTCATCTTGTAATTTTTAAACACATAGCACTGTATCATGCTATTTTTGTTCAATCATTACATAAAGGACACCTGAAATGCAAACATTACTCTTTAGAATTCTGCAAAATCTGTTTGTGACTTCATAATTTGTTTTTCTACTTTCTTTCTGTCCTATGTAAAGGATCTGATGCTACAGCCGTTCCGAGGGAGCTTGGACAAGTTATCTTTACAGCATCCGTGTTGAGGGAGGTGATGCTACCGCTCCTCCAGCTGATGTTGGGATAGTCACCGAGGGTGCTGAAGTTCTGCATGACTTGGGAGACATCGCCTCTACACGTGCACTCTTAATAGGTGTAATTATGCACTGAAGCTCAGTTATCCTCAGAACCTTAAAGCCTTCTTTGAGGTACTTCACAAGTGATTCTTTCAACTAGATGCTAGCAAACTCTCAACCAAGGTACAGATGCTCAAGAACAAACTCTATGAATGAGCCATTGATTTGGAGGCTGTGTTCTGTGGAATTGGCAGAATTCTAAGCAGTGCATCATCAAAATTGTTGACAACTAAACATTATTTTGCAAACTTTTCAACACTTTATAGTGCTGATAATTTTACTGTATTATTTTTTTCACCAGTTGCACCAAAATGATATTGATGTGTTGGTGAATAAAGTCCATAACAAAATTCAGTTGAAATGAATTTGTGTGGGACCAGTTGACAAACATTTGATTTGTGTCAATCTAATTTGGAAAAAAATTTTTACTACTCCAAATAAAATATTGAAAGGTAAGCTTAAATATATTGTTGATCAGAAGTTTTTTTAGTTGGATCAATTGACATTCATTGTGTTACTCTTATACAAGTTCATTACATTTTTTTGCTTTTAACTAACCTAAAACAATTTTGTGGAATCTGTTGAAAAAATAAATATAATTAAAATCAAAGCTTCAGTTTTTTTGAGTGAACCAAGATGGGACAACAAATACACCTTTTATGACCATTTGATTTTGATATATAGCCTAACACCAGTAAGCTGTGCATCAAGACCTAAAGAGAATAGGTCTTTTTAGCCTCAAATGGCCTATGAAAGTAAACTCCATACATTAATGGGAAAAGTTTGTAGATATATTGGATAATTGCTTGTAATTACTATAAAAGTATGTTTATTTGAAGTAAACCCCATACATTAATGATAAAGGTCTGTAGATATATTGAATAGTTGCTTTTAATCACTATAAAAGTATGTTTATTCAAAGTAAACTCCATATATTAATGGGAAAAGTTCGTAGATATATTGGATAGTTGCTTGTAATTACTGTCAAATATTGTTTATATAAAGTAATCTCTATAAAAATATGGTTTTGCAAGCTATTATCATGTGATCTTTGTTATTCCACAGTTTAAAAACTAAATAACAGGAAGTTACTATTAATAGATTGGATAATCCCATAAAATAAAAGCCTAAAGCTTTCAAGATACTGTTATTGAGTTTTAAAGCACGGTATTTTAAGGAATTAAATCTAAAAATCTGTACTTTGACAAGGAGTTCTTGTGGATGGAATAGATAATCTTATGAATTTACCAAAGAATACTGTGTAAAAACAGCAGACACTTTTTAACTGTGTAATTTTAAGGTATTTCTGCAATATTTTTCAGTTTATATGCAGATTTATACATTTGTTTAACATTTTACAGACATTTTTTAAATGAGATTTTCTTTTCATTTTACAGCAGTTGGACTGTAAAAATACAGACAATGTTTACAGTAAATATCTGTATTTAAAAACAGAATTATTCTGTAGAATAATTTAAGGTTCTTTACTGTAATTTTACGGTAAGTGTTTGGCAACTTTTGCTGCCAGACTTTTTACCGTTATTTTACGATTGTTTTTTTACATTTATTTACCTTAAATTTAAAGTTTCACAGTAAAAAACAGAAAGTTGTCTTAATTTTAAATATGTGAATTTCTTTGTCTTTTTACATAGAATTCAATGTAATTTTACATTCAGGGCAATTAAGCAATCTGTAAAAAAAAGTATAATTTCTTATTATATGAATATACAGATTATAACTTATTTTATGATTAATGTTTTTAATAAAAGTATTTTTCTGTATTTTCTACTAAAATCTATTCTAATACCTGGCGTGCATGGCTGCCTAACTATTACTGTTAACAGCTATATTTAAACCAGGATTAGCAGCTAAACTAGGCAAGTAATCAGGTACCTATGAGGTGTTCATTTAAAAACACAATTACATATATACTTTTACTTTTACTGAGCTGGGCTCAGTAAAAGATGCCTTTAAACAAATCCAAATCTTCCACACCCACAGGTCACATATTCTGTAGAAGCAAGAAAGAAACAATATGGTTTAGCAAGGGGCAAGACAACATTTAGGAGGTATTTACTGACCATCAAATAGCGCCATCCTAAAGCCACACGGTTCATCCTTCAACTCTGGAGCGTGTCCTGTATGCTTATCAGTAACTACTTAGCCAGCTAAAAAGACACAACATTGAAATAAAACGTCACTGGTGTTATTAGGCTCGCCACTTTAGCTACAAATGTTCAAACTGAACGAACATATTGAATCACAATTGTCACTTAACTAATCAGCAGCTTTCAGCGGTGGAGCTCCACTCAACGGTGACTGAGAACACCATTGTCAGCTTGTAATTACTTGTTTAAAAGTAGGGCTGTCCCCGACTAACGATTTACGTAGTCGAATCAGAATCGTCAAGTCCTGCCCATAGTCGGCAGATAGTCGAATCCTGTGTGTGTTTTTGTGCAGGGCGATTGCGAGCACGTGGGGGGATTACACATGGTAGTTCCGCTTTAATCTTGAGGAGCTCAGAGCTGCAGCCTCTTTTCCAACAACTTACACTGTAAATTTTCAGCTAAACTGAGGCTTTTTGAAGACCCTTTTACTCTCACTCTCTCTTTCTTGCCTGTCATTCAACGGTCTTGTGCAGACTTTTACGTGCGTTAGTGCTGCGGACAACGGCATGCACGTCGCGGTTCCCCGCGGGTCTATTTCAAGTAGCCGGCTATTTAAAAACTATAAAATATTCTTTATGTGGTTCATCAATGGTGATAAATTATCCGAAAGTCCCGTGAGGTGCGAACAACTCGGCACAACAACGTGAAGCTGGGGCTTGGCCTCTTCAGCAAGAGTTCCTCCACTGCCACTGCACAAATACACGCTATGCTTACACATGTGCACTGACAACCCAAGTTTAGAGTTAGAATTTTGGATTTATTCACGCACTTCAAAAACATTTAGTGAAAGTTTTTATTCTTTTTACAAGTTTATTTACAGCATTAAACATTGAAATGTATATTGTAATAGGCTGTATATTAACTTATTGGGAGAAAACTGGTAGTTCTATGTAAAATCAGACGTTGAGCACCCCCATATAGCCAGAATGGCATGATCCTTGTTTCACTGCGATGCTTCGACTGTGAGATTGACAGTCGAATCAGGCTCCGCCCATCGAAGCATTGACTATTCGGGGTCAGCCCTATTTAAAAGCTAACTAAAAGGCCACGAAAACCTCAGAAATGATCATGAAGTGATAACTTTGCTGTGAGTGTGAATGACGATGCGTTCACTTCGCTTAGAAAATACCTGAACGAGCTATTTTTTTACTTCATTCAAAGATTCGTTGTCACTGACTGTGACAACGAATCTTTGAATGAAGTAAAAAAATGTTTCAAATCAGCAAAGTGACCCTGGATTTCCAGCATGGTTGAAGTGGATAACTTTCTTCATCAAGGTTTGCATTGTATGAAAAGGTAAAAAATTACACATACATAAAGGTCCTCCATCATGTAGCTTTCTTAGAAGAAGAATAAATTTAACCCAAATACAATACAAGCTGGGAATAAACTAATTAGCTAACAGTGTTTCTGTATACGTTCTGAAAGGGTTCTAAATTTAAAGAGTAACTTAACACCGGATGAAAATGTTTAACTTCTCACATTGCAGCAGTGATGTAGATGTGTACTCCAGGGTGTGTCAGTACATTCTTACATCACTGTTGGGTATGGTTACAGGTGCAAGACAGATCTGTTGCTTTTCGTTGTTGATTTAAATCTAAAATATTTATGTGAATACACTGGGTTAATGATAAGGGATTCCTTTATTTAATTAAATTGAATGTGTGGAATATAATGTAAGAAAAAACAGTCAGTAGCTCCCTTTCTTCATTTAATTTAAATGAGGTATGATATGTTATAAATATGCTAAGCCCATAGACCCTTTAAGTGGCTGGTGTTGTGTAATAAAGGCATGTGTAATCACACCAGCCTCTGTTGTGACTTGGATGGTGGCTTCACCATTTCTACCAGTGGCGTCATGTATTTTCTGTTAACCATATCACCACACAGGACAAAGACGGCCTTGAAAACTCTCAAACGCACACATACAAATTGCTCCGCTGTGTTTTTTTATTGTTTTTTTTATACACACTGCACAAGGACAAACAGTGTCTTCTATCTCCATCACTGACACAATGCAGGCAATCACTCCATACCACTTGACTCTGATGGGCTGCCTGTGACTAGACAGCACCCCACACATCAAACAGAAGTGCGATGATTACTAGTTACTCAGCCAGCCAAGTGTGGGCTGTGGAGCTATGATTTGACCCCCAAAAAAAAGCACAATTTAGGGGGAAATTAAAGACACGGCTGCTGTTGATGCAATAATCAGAAGTTGTCTGCTGACGACATGAGACAACAGCTGTACCCAACCTGCACACATGCACACACATTCAAATAGTCACATTGTTTTAGTCAAAGACAGTAAAACATGCCAACAGACTTTTAAAAAAGATTTGTGCACCACCATATATTCTCAAAGGGCCTTGTGTCCCTCTATCCCAAAAGACATCTCTGTTACGGAACTGAAAGTGGACATTTTGTCACATGTGTACAAACTGGTAGGTGGCTCTGAATAAATGGTGATTATTTGTTGCCACTTAGCAGCTCCTTCTTTGCATGTGAGGTGAGCTTGTAATGCTGTTGCTAGGAGCCATCAACGGAAATGTCAGTCAACTCAGCAAGTGATGAGATTTGACATATGGCATCAAAGCATCATTAGACCTGCACCTGCTGCAGATGGAGTCTGCTCTTTCACAAGGGGTTCAGCACCAAGGGGAGGCCTATTCAGGGACAGGGAAGGATAAGATGACCGGTAACACACACCCATTGTGTCTGAGTTACAATCTGTTTCAGTGTATTTAAAGATCTCAATAAGGCCACTTTACCATGTGTAGATAGCCATTGTATATTATAATAATTCACTATTATCATGGCATAATAAGTGAGCTCTAAAGAATGGTGGAGATCTTAATTTAACTTCAAGCAGGCTTCAAGGTAACAGCGAAATTTATTTAAGTCATAAATAAATCACTGTGTAACTAAGTTCTGTCGATAAGCTGCTCATTGAGTGGATTAGAGGGAATATTGTTTTTTCCCCTAATTGTTCACTCTTTCTGTGGTGAAACATGACATAAAACAATGGATTCTGCCAATATACATTTAAAAATAAGTTCTGTCATATATTAGGCGGGCTCAGTTTGGTGGTAAAAGTTCTGCTTTCCCAACACATTTTGAGTCCATAACATCTAATTTCCTGCAGGGGGTATGCCACATTCAAATGGTAATGTAACATGATTACAGCAATTTCATTTATACAAAAATAAGTGAAAAGACAATTTTTTTTAACAAAGTTTGTTATGTTTGCAGTCTTGAAAATTATGACAGTGTGTCAAACACAGACCAAAAAAAGAACACACTGAAGATCAGTGACAGGAATAAACATTTAACAGGCTGGTGGTTAAATGCTGCAAATGTAAAAGCTTTAGAGAGAGAAACAGAATTTAATTGGCGCCTCTGTCACCTGATCACAACCTAAACTGTACGTTGTGAGCGTCTT